AATGACAAGAATAAATACCCCCCTTCAAGCTGTTAGGAATACGAAATAGTGCCAATGACAGTTATGAATATGAAAGGGTGTCGAAATTAGTTACAAATATGAAAAAATGTCATAATAACTAGTAATGTCCCTATTACAATATGAACAAATATGTAATTTTATACTAGATACGCCTGAAATATATAAATACGGGGTCATTTCTACAAAAAAAAAAAGTACAACTTAATTTAATCTATTAAGATTCTTGTGTTATCGTGTATTCTCTCTCAATCTTCCTCTTTCTCTCTCTCTTTGTTTCACAAGTCTGTCGTATGCTCTATACATTGGATGTGATCCACATGAGATATTTGGATTCAACACGTCGATTTATGAAATTTCATATTAAAGATCTGAATTTTTTCTCTCATTCATCTTAAATCCGAAATTAATAAATCCAATGAATGTGCGGATTCAATAAATCCAGATTTATTAAATCCTACTAATGTTAAATCCTACCTGTAGCCAAAATCCCCCAAATGGTTGCTTCATGTTTTTTAAAGAGTGATTGTAGAGTTGTGATGAAATTTTTATTTTTTAAGGCCACTAAAGACCTTATTTATTTTTATTTTTTTGTACTTAGCAAACCTTATAATAGTTTGTGAAAAGATTGTCAGTTGAATTTCAATTATTTTTTTTGTACTTAGCAAACCTTGTAATAGTTTGTGAAAAGATTGTCAGTTGAATTTCAATCATTAAAATCATATGAAAGAGGATCAATACTATTAATCATGATGGTAAACATGACATTATATCGTCTATATTACTGAAATCATACATGAAATTACAATAGTACTGAGGATCACACAACTATTACTCAACTAGCTTTTGAGCATAATAGTAGTTCATAAATATATGATGCATTTAGTCCCACCTTTTTCGAGTTCTCATTAATGCTGTAAAAAAAAAGCTTTTTATTTGTAAACAACTCGTGTTAAAATCGTTCATTAAACGAGTGAGCCGAATACAAAAAAAAAAAAAATTAAGCTCTAATAATAAACAAGTTGAACACGAACAATCATTTGCTTGATTGTGTTCGACTCGTTTTAGCTCAAAATAGTGTAGATTCAAATCCAACACTCAACATTTTTTTTTTTTAATTAACTTAATCGAGTCAATTTAGAGCCGAGCACGAATAACAATATGCAAACACACAAAGGTAAAGATTGTATCAATTCATGGTATGAAAAACACATACCAATCATATATATATATATATATATATATATATATATGATGAGTAGTATTTTTTAAAAATTTAATTGACTACAAGGCTACAAAGATTTATGATCAATATTTTTACACATATTTACATGTAGAATATGTTAATAAATAAAATTCTTTTGACGTAATATATTTTATAAAAAATATTATTGGCTTTATATGAGATAAAATAATCGAATATTTTTCTAAATTATTAAAATTAAGTATAGCGTACATCTAAAACATCATACGTGAGTCTGGACACATACAAACACATATTCATGCAAACTATGTGTGTATATAATATGTGCATCTCATAAGTAATATATATATATATATATATATATCTGCAAGTAATGCTCTGTGATGCAAAGCTTTCTCGTTACAACATAAATGACATCTTCCAACTTTTTAAATACCAAACATGTTTTTGGGCTTGCAAGACAACTTAGCAAGTTAGCATGCATAAAATGGGTTTTCCATTCGATATTTTTTCTTTCTTTTTTTCCTTCATTTTGAAAATGGAAGATCTTCATACATACCACTCAATCCCTGTGCTTACATATCTAATTCAATTTTTTTAATACATACCACCTTACTCATACAACGACAACAATAACAACAATAAGCCTTTATCGCACTAAGTGGGGTTGGCTACATGGATCATTTTTCTCCATTGCATCCTATTGAGTACTATATTTTCATTTAATTCTAATAAATTAAGATAATTACTCATACAATTTGCCCTATTCTTTTTAGGCGCACCTCTGCCTTTTTTAGCATAAGTTGAATCTTAAATATCTACTCACCTAACAGGATCGCCAAATGAACGACATTTAATGTGACTAAAACATCTAAGACGACTCTCTCTAATATTGTACGCCAATAGAGTTACACAAACCCTATCACGGATATATTCAATTCACATTTTCTCTCTAAGTGTCAAGCCACTCATCTATCTAAGCATTCTCATCTCAGCAACACTTAACTTTGTTTTAGGCTTTTCTTTTAAAGGCCAACAATCTACACCATAAAGCATTTCATGGCTCACCACCAACTCATAATTTTTTTCTTTTAGTCTAAGTGGTACTTTTCTATCACACAATAGATTCAACACATTTCTCCAATTCAACCAACCAACTTGAATTCTACTACTAACATCCCCATCCATAACACCATCACTTTGAACAATGAACCAGAGATATCTAAAATGTTCACACCTTTTTATGATTTAATCGCTCATAATTACAACTCTGTCACTAGAGCTGCTACTAGAAGAATTACATTTCATATCCTAAATTTTAGATCTACTCAAACAAAGGCATTTAAACTAAAATGCGAACCTCCATAATTCAAGTTTTTCCCAAACTCTTTCTGAGCATTTCATGTCTCACCACCATCTTATAAAATTTTCATTTTATTCTAAGAGTTGCTTCTCTATCTTACAATAGACCTGAAGCATTCCTCCACTTCAATCAACCAAATTGAATTCTACTAATAATATCCCCCTTCTACATTACAATTACATAGAACACCAGATTTGAGATATCTAAGGCGTCCGCACCTTTGCTCATAATTACAACTCTATCACTAGAGCTGCTACTACTAGAATTACATTTCATATCCTAAATTTCAGATCTACTCAAACAAAGGCATTTAAACTAAAATGTGAACCTCCATAATTCAAGTTTTTCCCGAACTCTTTCTCTAGTCTTATCTACAAGAAGGATATCATCAACGAATAGAGGTATGCCCTCCTATAAATGTACAATAGGAGCATCCATAACTAAAACAAAAAAGAAATTGACTTAAAGCCAATTCCTAATGTAATCCAACAGAAATAAGAAATTACTTGGTTAATCCTCCTGTTCAAACACAGCTAACTGCTCCAGTATACAAATCATTAATGACTTGAATATAATTCATATCAAAACAGAAAATACTTGGTTAATCCTCCTGTTCAAACACAGCTAACTAATTTTCATTGTACTTCTCCATCAAACCTCTCAATAAATGTATGACTTTCATAGTAGACCTGCCCGACATAAATACAGACATAAATCCAAAACATAAATCCAAACTAATTATGAGAAATCTTTGTAACACGTCTTAACATATGTTCAATTACCCTATCCAATAATTTAAAAGCATGACCCATCAACTTAATTCCTCTATAATTTACATACACTTGTGCATCCTCTTTATTCTTAAAAAAGAGGACCAAAATGCTCTTCCTTCACTCCTTAGGCATCTTTTTAGTTTTTAAAATAATATTAAAGAGTTTCGTAAGCCAAGAAACTCTCAAATCTCCTAAATATTTTCATACTTCAATTGGGATATCATCAAGTCCTACTGATTTCCGACCTTTGGATTTCTTTAAAGCCTCCTCAACTTCATCTCTACTAATGTCGTGGTAAATAAACATTTTATTATTAATGAAATTAAGATCACTAAGATCGATCGTAATTTCAAAAACTTTATTGAAAACATTATCAAAATAGCTCACCACCTATGTTGAATATATTCATCTAAAAAAAACACCTTTTTATTTTCATCTTTAATACACTTAAACTAAATCTCTACATTTCTTTTCTCTTTGTTTAGCTAGTTTATACATATATTTTTCACCATCTTTAGTATCTAATCTATTATGAAGATCACTGAAGGCAGAATTTTTAATATCACAAACTGTTCTCTTGGACTCTCTACGACTGACCTTATATTTTTCTCAGTTATCTAAGCTTTATATTTTAACTACTTTTTATAACACAACTTCTTATATTTTATCTTTTTTTGCATATTATTATTTCATCACCAACTATTTTTATTTATAGAAAATTTTTCTTTTGACTCTCCAAGTACTTCTTTCGCCACTTGTTTAATAGTGTTATTTTATCCCACATCGAATTTGCTTCATGAACATCTCAAATCTTAGAATCTTGAATTTTACTCATAAAAATAATTTTAGCTTCATGAACATCTCAAATCTTAGAATCTTTAATTTTACTCATAAAAATAATTTTATTTGTTTTTTAGGTTCCTCATCTAATTCTATGATAATAATTTCTAGTTTTTTTTTATTTATAACTCTTCAATTTTAAAATCCAAAACTAATGATCGATATTAAGTACTTAAATTCTCACTTTGAATTACCTTACAATCTTTACATTCTTGATGATCCCTTCTAATCATAAGAAAATAATCAATTTGTGTTTTATTAGATCAATTCTTATAAGTAATAATATGTTCATCTTTTTTCTTGAATAAAGTATTAATATAACAAAATCATACACTAAAACAAAATCTAATATAATTTCAATTTCTTCATTAATCACTCCAAAATCATATCCACCATAAATTTTATAAAATCTTCTATCACTCTACCAACAAGTGCATTTAAATCTCCTTCAATAAAAACTCTTTCTTCAAAAGGTATCATTTGTATTCATTTTTCTAGGTCATTCCAGAAGTTTTCTTAAGAACCTATATCTAAACCTACTTGAGGAGCATGGACACATAACATTAAAAGTCTTATTATCAACAACAATCTTAAAAGTTATAATTATATCTCCAATTTTATTAATTTTTACAGCATTATCTTTCAAACTCTTATCTATAATTACACCTACACCATTTCTAGTGCGCCTCTTACCAGAATAACAAAATTTAAAACCTCCAAAATTTAAAATCTACAATATCAAAATTGTTGGATATGTAAATGCATATATATTAGGTGGTATGTCTGCAAATTTCCTTATCTAAATATAACCACTTGAATAAATATAAAGTAAAATTTGCGGGAACTAATTGTTTCTCGAGCAAATCATCATGCTATACATAAGTTTCTAACTTGGTTAACACGATGCTTATTTACAGAAGAATACATGAAATTTAGGATTTTGAAAAGTACCAATTTACAGGATTGATTAGACTATACAACAACTATGATGCAGATGCCGCCATTTGAGTGGAAGGAGAACGCAGCAGGTTTCTGTAAAGCAAATCATCTTGGTGAACAGATATGCCGAGTAAGTTTAATTACAAGTTTTTAAAAACATTTGCACAATGAAAATTGAAGCTCTCGAAAGAGCTACTTATTTCTATCCTAAGAAAATAAAGGATTACTACATACCACAGAATTCCTATGTATTTACATATCTGACACCTCAGCTTTGCTTTTTTTACATTCATACCACCCACATCTTTCATATCACATACAACTTTTCACACATAGTTAAGGTGGCATGCATATATATATATATACATATATCTTTTTTTTTCACACACGCGCACACACACACATATTCAAACTTCTAAAAAATGAAATACAACTTTTCACACACTCTGTGTGTGTGTGTGTGTCTTTTTTTTTCACACACGCGCGCGCACACACATATTCAAACTTCTAAAAAATGAAATACACGTGCGCGATTGAACTTTTAGGAGTTAGATATGTAAATACATAAGAATTGAGTGGTATATGTGTAGATCTTCCTAATAGATATGCCCAAAATCAAAGAAGATAGCCGAAAATATATACCTATGACTGGAAGAGTGTAACAGTAGCAATATAACCATTTCTCATAACCTATTAAAATATAAAGAGATAAAGGCAAGTTAGTGCTTGTTTTATGATAGATGAGTCTTGAGAAATGGTGAAAGGTTTAGCACCTCAAAAGCTATATTCTGATATCCATAAACAAAAGTGGGGCCAAAAGGGTTGTTCATTGATCCTTGCGTTTGGATTGCAGCTCGGCCACCATCTCCAAGGATCTCCTAAAATGACAACAGTTCCACTTGAAATTATTTTTGTCTTGACAAAATAGCATTTAATTGCAATAAAAATTTAAAAATCATTTTTTTTTTTTTTCAGCGAACTAGACATCAGCATAAGGTGAATTGAAATTGAATTGAAATTAAAGCCAAATAAAGCCAAAATACAGAGTTCAATTAAAAAAGGTTATTTTGTGGTGAACCTGAGCAAGGAAAAGACTAATCATGTAAAACATTAAAAACCTTCCAAGGAACAAGACTAGCTGTTCTCATTTATACCAAAATTTGCACTGACTTTATTTTCATTACATAAACAATTTAATGAAGTTACAATTTTTCAATAACAGAGGAAAAAAGTGAAAACTAAAAACTACTTTCAATTCAGAAAACTATTTTTTGAGGTGGTATTGTAGATTGGTTGCTTAGAAAAATTTTGAATTTAAATTGAAATGGCCCGCAGCCAGAGAGAGTATCTGAGTAGGGAGTTTCACTCATCTTTTTTTGCAAATTTAAAATTAAATTAGAATAAAAATTAACGATTAAATTAAGGCGAGTATTGTGCCACATCCAGTCGTCTAGAGTATAAGGAATCTGTAAATAGATGTTTTGAGGCATAAAAAGTAATAAAAATCCGTCTCGAATAAAATTAATCTCTTAATTTCTAATAGTTGGATGTGTGTACAAGTGTGACTACCTGATTACAAGTAAAACTACATTCTTGTACCGGCTCGACTATATTTTTTTCTACATAATTTGCTATTGGCTAGTTCATTATGCTCATAATTTTTGAAAATTAATTTCGGATCTGAGAAAACTAATTTGTTTGCTAATTCTATTTGTTTCCAAATTCTTCCTAAACTTGTGACCATTTCATCAATTTAGCTTAAAATCCGCTATTAATTATTTTCATTAAAATAAAATGAGCTGTGACAATCAGTAAACATGTGATATGTGATTTTTTTTTTCTTTCTTTTACAAGAAAGCATACTAAACATCATATCAATTGCATTAGAAAGTCTAATCCTAAATCATTAAATATCATTATTGCAATGAAGATGAAATCTTTAGAAGGAACAAAACTATTGAAAGAAAAAAAAAATCTTAAAAGAGGTAGAATCTGTAGATATGAGCCGATTTTTGTGTAAAAATCGGTATTTATGTGCCAATTTAAAGCAGTTATGCCAACATTAATTGTATGGTGATAGTTGGCAGACGGGTGAGGGGAACGGAAACGAGAAATCCTTTGGTCTCACGCGAAATGAGGCTCCTGTAAATGTTGAAACTCACCGTTCATTTTTCAAGGCTCATGACAGAATTATTTGGAGAGGCTTAGAGAGGAAAAAGAATGATAATAATAATAATAATATTCGTAATGGTAAAAATTTTAATAAATGAATAATAATAACAGTAATAATCCTTTTTTTTTTTTGTAATTTGATTTATTTAACTGTGTAGACTTGTACATTTGGTCATTTAAAGTAGTTCAGTTTCAAAACTCATATAAGTTATGACCATATCAACTAGTGAGCACATTTATACAACTGGTGAATACATTTATGCTTTCGAGTGACTAGATAAGTTAGTGAATTCAATTTGTTGAACATGGTGTTTGTCTTAAGGCTAAATAAAATTTTATCAAAAAGTAAATAATCTAAGAGGAGCTTGAGACGTAAGGGATCTTATACCCCCCTCCTCACCTAGAAGTTCTCTTAGCCTAAAATTTCACTTTGGTAATACATTTAAAGAAATTTTAGCTAGAAACATAAATATTTATAAATGTGTAATGAATAAATCACAGTCTAATGAGAGCTTGGTTGTATTCAGATTAAATTTAGTTAATAATAATAATAAACTGAAAAATCATAATTTCTAACTTCAAAACAATAGCAAAAAAACATTTATACTTATATATTAGACAACTGACTTGACTCAACCCAAAAACTATTACGTGGATTCATTATCAAAGATGAGTCGACAAATTTCAATCTTTATATTACATTATGATGGTGTATTAGTCACTTCTGATAACTTCAACCCGAGCTACAAAGGAGGTCGTCGTCAACCGCTGTGTATACCTACACAGTCAACATTTGATAATCTATGTCGTAGAGTTCTTAGTGCCCTGAGTGGTGTTCCTAGGACTTACATCATATCGATCGTATGTCAATTTCCTGTCGGTCAAAATTATATCGCAACTCCAATTGAAGATGATGAGGTTATAGAATGTAATACAAGTTGCTCAACAATAAAACTTGACACTACACAAAAATTGAAAGTTGGGGTGATGTTCATCAGAGTAATAATCAAATATCACATTAAAGTGCAGCTGATCCTTTAGAATATCCAGCTCGTGACAGTAACGATGTCTCAGCAACAAATCTAATGAATTATCAAGACTATACTCCTGATAGACATTCTTGTTTGGAGGCAAGTCAACGTCCGTGGATACATATGGATCACATAGCTCAAGATGATACTCAAATTACAAGAGAGAGTTAAGGATATGAGACAATGAACAGTAGCACAATTGATGGTTCTGATAATGACTTCGATAGCAAAACAGATGCACTAATATCGACAGATGTATCTGAGATTATGGGCAGAGAAAAACTGTAGAGCATTCCACAAATAGTGCACCCATTCTTGACGCTATAATATCTCGCAATGATTACATTTGAGTATGTCATAAAACAGAGTAGTGGGACAAGGATGTCAAGGTTGATGCTCCAACATTTCCAAAAAACAAGTCTGAAGGTCATATTTCAGATGTGTTATATGAGGGCATGATATTCATCAACAAACAGACTTACAATTTACAATAAATGGCAGGAGCATACAAAACAATATTGAACTTTCAAATATACATTCCAATAAATCTCGATTAGTTTGAAGTGTATGCACCATGAATATCCATCTCGACCATGCCAGTGGTGTTTGCATGCAACTTGGAGCAAGATACTTTTGGGAGTATGAAAAATATCATTTTTCATTGATCATCACTCTTGTGCACGTAGAATTCATACTGGTGGACACCGTCAATGCACATCAAAATTTATGTATTATTATATTCTCTCCATCATCAAATGTCAATTTGACTTGAAGCCTAAATAAATTATGCTCTTATGGAGGTTAAATTTAACATCCGAGTATTTTATATGAATCCACGATATGCAAGGTGAAAGACCATCAAGTCTATTTTTGGTAGTTGGGAAACTTATTATCCATTGCACAAGTTAATGGTAGTCATTTTGACTGTAATTCGGGATTCATTTATATGATAAATTTGAAAGCACACCTCGATTTCAACGGCTCATTTGGGCATTTGGGCAATCTACAGAGGGTTTAAGTAATCGTTGCTCTATTTTGAGTTTTAACAACACATTTTTGTTAGAAAAATATCATGGAACTTTACTTAGCGTTGTTGGTGTTAATGCAAATAATGGTCTCTTCCCATTGGCATTTGCGCTAGTTGAGTCTGAGTGAATCGATTCCTGGATCTAGTTTTATGAAATTTATTTCAGCTCTTGCCTATTGTTGGATCACGTACATATCTTTTGTATAATATTGGATCGTCATTTAGGCATTGTTCGTGAGAATAGAGAAATTGTCCCAAGGGCGTCACAAAAATTCTGTTAGTAATCTTAGAGAAGTTTTTTAAAAGTAATTATACAAATAATTAATATTTATATAGAGATGTGTCAAAACATGTATTGGACAGAGAATACAAATCACATTCAATTATTCAACCAACATATAACTGATATCTGTAATTGTTGACCTCATTTTTTAGGTCATTACTCATTTCAGAATCCTAGGATCTAGCTCTAAGGGTTTCTATTAACTATCCTAGAAAACTATAAATTGATACCCACCATTTTAGAAATTCCAAAACATTTCCTATTTTCCTGTGATGTCTAGCATTTATGGTCTCAAAAACATCGTCTTATGGATGAGCGATTAAGGTCTATTGTGTGGAGACTCAGGGAGAAGTTCTCAATAAGATTTCAAGCTCTAGGAAAACCTCATCAGGACTTTATCGTCACATAAACTCACCAAATGCACAAAATTCATTAAATTGCACAAGATCGGACTTCAATTGAGCCTAAAGGACGGGTGAAAATGTAAACTTCTTCGGACGACCTCCGACGATAAAATCAACTGCGTCAACGCGTCCGAGACATTAATTTTAGTAGGAAAAGACATCCATATTGTCATATTTCCGACACAAAAAAATTTGCACACAAATCGATGAATTCACCAAAATGGCTTCTGACGACGAAATGGACTGCGCCAACGCGTCCGGAACGTCAAGATTTCCAAAAAAGAATATTCAATTTTCTACAATCTGACGCACGAATAAAAATGCATAAATTAAATTTTATTTTTGAAATATTAAATTTTTTTTATTTATATTACTTATTATAATAAAATTATAACCCTAATTTCTATTTCCCCTTTTCCCACATGCTTAAACTCTCCATTCGATCATTGCGGCTAGGTCAGGTGTCGGCTGGCCTCCAAATCGATGAATTCACCAAAATGGCTTCTGACGACGAAATGGACTGCGCCAACGCGTCCGGAACGTCAGCCTGAGCCAATCGATTAAGGCCAAGGCCAAGGCCGCCGAGCTCGCCTCCTCTCCCGCATCTCTTCCCTCACACGTGGCATTCCTCTTCCCTCACACGCGGCATTCCGCTGCCATTCGGATTTCCAAAAAAAAATATTCAATTTTCTACAATCTGACGCACGAATAAAAATGCATAAATTAAATTTTATTTTTGAAATATTAAATTTTTTTTATGCGAAGTTCCACCTAGCCGGCTTTTCCTCTGCCATAGGTTGCATTTCCTCTTGCCTTAAATCCTTCTCCTCCTTTCCCTTTACCTGATTTGCTTACCAGGGAGGCTGGTAGGTGGCTTCTCCTCTCTCCTTTCTTTGCTATAAAAACCCCATTTGGGATAAGGTCTAGGGCTGGCCGAAATTTCTGAGAGTTTGGAGGTGCT